CTCTCCCTCTCCCTCTCCCTCTCCCTCTCCCTCTCCCTCTCTCTGTGTGTGTGTGTGTAGTGTTGAATCTAGGCTCTATCTGCATGTTAGACATACAGTATGCCACTAACTCACATGGCTCACCTGTAGTGTCCTGTCCTTTTCTAATGAATGAAACTTAATTTCCCTTACACATCCTTTCCTGTGTACTGCCAAAGGCAGTCTCTTGTGCAGTCTACTTGTCCTTCCTCATAAGAATTGGCCGTGGACCTGACATACTCACAGACGTCACTCAGCCTGTGGCAGACTTTTGCTCTATGAGGTAATCATGCCATTTCAGGGTCAGTCTCTGCTCCTTTGTTTTGTTTAAGCATGTATGTTATAAATCCCCTTCCAACTTCTAGGGGGACAGATACAGCAACCTACTAAACTTCTGTTGGGAGGTGACAAGTCTTTCTGATGAGCATCTACATACACTGTCTGTGTCTAGTGCTCAGCGTGAGGGCTGACAGCCACTGTGGAAGCTCCAGTGGCTCTGTGTGTTCTCTGAACTAAGTATTAGTCCACCCAGCGTCTTGATTGCTCATGTGCTTGTTGTGGTGATACCAATACCAGTTTATAGAGGACTAACTGTCACACCTCTACTCCTGACAGCTGTGGACACATGCCACTTGATCGTCAGCCTGTTAGTGCTGCTCAGTCTGGCACTCACCCCCTACCCCTGCACCCCTTTTCTTTCTTTTCCAAGACAGGGTTTGTAGTCTAGGCTGGCCTCAAACAGACTGATGGGATTAAAGGCAGCTACCACCACAGCTGACCTGATACAGTTTTTAATTTCCATTCAGCATATGTCTACCTCTCCTAGATAATTTAGATGTGCATTTGGTTCATTTCTAATTGATTTTGTCATTTCTAAAGCAGTTAAACATTATGTAGTAAAAATACCAGTTCACTTTTCACTGCAAGTCACAGTACTTGAGGGGTGTGTATGTATTTTGTTGTGTGGCTTAGTTCCGACTGTTTGAGAATGTGCTCTTGAGTGGTAAGCTTGTGGTATTACTGAGACCTTTATAATCAGGCCAGTGAGTTGGTAAGCTCTTGAGCTTTGGAGAGGAGGGGAGTGTTCACTTGGCCATGGTGTGTGGTCTGTGAGTGTTGTTGATTATCTACATGGAATCATTTGCTCTGCTTTTTGAAAATGAGGACATGAGTGGTACGCTCATTCTCAACAACGATTAGGGTATTTGTTCTTTCTGGTTGTGCTGCATATATATTTAAAGGGATTGGGGTCTATAGATTAACATGGTAAATCTTGGGCTGGGATCGTTGTGACTAGTCTTAGTAATGTTTTATATGGTTGTGCTCCCTTTCTAGGTGGCACCACCAGCTTTCTGTTGACATAGCAAATACTACTTTCCCTCATACTCAGGGTTTTAATTGGATTATTGTATCCTTCTTCATTTAATCTAATTATGTAGATTGTTTTTCCTCTCACACTGTTTTGTTTTGCAGGGTGTTGTAGGGTGGTTGGTACGTAGAGCTTGAGACAGCTTTACTCTGTCTTGGAGCTCATTTTGTAGTGTAGTGCAGGCTAACTGTGAACTCAGGCTCTACTTGAGTGCTCTTGTTACAGTGAGTCATGACGTCTGGCCTTTCTCAGACCTGTCTGTTCCATCTCCTTTGTATGGATTTGTGGCCATCAGCAGAGGTCAGCAGAGGTCAGTGAATGCTCTCCTTTCTCTACTGCCTCCTCCTGGGCTTGAAGTCCAGTGTCAGGTGTGCTGCCAAGTGCTTTCGCTCTGTGCTGGCTCTAGGAAAAGAGCCGGTCTTTTTAAAAAGCTGCTATTCACTGTCCTTTTCCCCCTCCTTTGTCCTACTGCCATGCGGTCATACCAGGCTTGTCTATCTTCCCCTCTGGGCTCTCCTGCTCCTCAGATGCCTTCCCCAGTGGTGCTGGGGATCAAACAAGGACTCACCTACTAAGGAAGCACACTACTGAGGGTTCTCCAAAAGGGTCACTGACGGTCAAAAGTAGGTGTTTTTCCTGAGTTTTGGAGAGTGAGGCCAGGGTCTGGTGTATGCTACCCATGTACACTAAGCTATACCTACACTTGCGGTGTTTCCAGTTACCATTTTACTCACATGTTCTCTTTAATCCCGGCCTTAGAAAAGTCCATTAGCATTTCTCTTTCTTTTCTTTTCCCCGGCAGCTGTTCACAGATGGGATCACAAACAAGCTCATCGCCTGCTATGTGGGCGACACCATGGACGATGTGGTTCTGGTGAGGATTTACGGCAACAAGACTGAACTGTTAGTTGACCGAGATGAAGAAGTGAAAAGCTTCCGTGTGCTGCAGGCGCATGGCTGTGCACCTCAGCTCTATTGTACCTTTAATAACGGACTGTGCTATGAGTTTATCCAGGGGGAAGCTTTGGACCCACAGCATGTCTGCAACCCAGCCATTTTCAGGTAAATTGGTCAGTTTTTTTCTTTTGAAAAAGAATGTTATGTGCGCTAAAGAAATATTAAAAAATTACATTTAGTTTTTGTGTATGTGGGGAGAGGGAGGAGAAAGGGAAAGGGAGAGAGGGGGCAGATAGCGGTATGTGTATGTGGGGGGAGGAGAGTATGTGTGGTGTACCTGAAACATTTAGCTGTCTTCTTAGATACTTTTTAACAACTGAGTAGGGTAGTTCACACCTGCAATCCCAGCAGGATCTGTTCCTGCCATCCTCAACTACCTAGAGAGTTGGATGCCAACCTAGGCTACAAGAGGCCCTGTGTCCCTCCCAAGAAGGAAAGTCTTTGATCACCAGCAGACTTTTTAGTACCAATATCTTCTATGTTAGAAGTTGAAACATTTTAGAATATAAAGACTGTCAAGTGGACATATTGTTTTAATGGTTGGTGTGGTAACATTGGCAGACACGAACGAGAGGGGGCATAGGAAATAAGGTCTCTGGAAGAGCCTTGAGAGGAACTTTCCTGAGAGGAGTCCTGGGTTGTACTTCAACATTTTTTGAGTGAAAACTAATTAGAAATGAAATGTGCCATATCATTTGTCTGTGCTAAAATTCTGTTAAACACATTTTGTTTTTCTAATGAGGAAGGGTCTCGTGGAGCCCAGGCTGACTTCAGACTTACTGCGACTGAGGATGACCTGGAGCTTTTGATCCTCCTGCCTTTATCTCTGGGTGCTGGGAGGTAGCTGTGTGCTTACCGCACTCTTTGTTTGTTTGTGTTTGAGACAGGGTCTTATAATGCAGTCCTGGCTGGCATGGACCTGGCTGAGTAGACCAGGGTAGTTTAATGCCCGAGAGCGCATCTCCCGCTGCGCACACAGCTCCTGCCTTACTCCCTTACCCTCGCCCCATGTCCTCATTCCCTGTGCAGATCCCACACCTCCTTTATTCTGCACCAGGACTGTTGAGTTGTCTTCGGTCCCTCACACTGGAACTCGGTGACACACGTCAGTCAGGAGTTTACATTCAGGAGACTTTTACTCTCTGGACAGAATAGTTTAGGGAGTTTATGTTTTCTACTTTGCTGATACTGGCAGGATGTTGTGGAACAAGGGAGGGGCCATGTTGAAATGATAATTAGATGTCTTGTGGTTTTCCTTCAGAGTATATTATTGGAGCCATCTTGCCACCTTTTTGAGCTGTGGACATTTGGGCAAAGAGCCAGGTCACCTTCCCTTCACTGAGGGATAGGAATTTGCTGCCTCATTTTCCTCATCTAAAAAATAGGAATAATATTACCTAACTCCATGTTAACATAAAGGCTAAGTTTATCAGTGCAGAAACACAGGCTGAATTTCTGACATCTTCAGGCTGGAAATGCTGCTCTAGGTATTTTTGGCCGTGGAGTATTTACATATTCATAATGTGTAGTCTTTGGTTTGAGGTCAAATTGAAACACAGAATCCATGTATGTAGGGCTGTGTACCCACAGCCGAGCCTGAGTGCAGTTGGGTCAGGGCTTTCAAGGCGTCTGAGCTGACTGACCAGTCAGCCAGCTGTGGGATTACTCTGTCCTTTTTCTAAGGATGCTCAACTTCTCCGTGTGGGAAGTTTAGAACAGTGTTCAGTAATGTATGTTAACTTCTGTAATATTTTTCTTATGTTTTCTTACATGTTAGCCAAACTTTGCAGTTCTAACAACTTGGATACTAAGAAGCTATTAACAATATTTTGGTAAATTGTCATAGATAATGCCAAGCTGTTATACTTTTGGAAGCATGGTCTTCTAAGTTTTTAGCTTAGTGTGGTTATGTATAGTTCTACTTGGGAAGCGGAAGACAGGAGGCTAACCTTGGCTGTGTGAGGGTTTTTGTTCCCTGTAAAGTAGCTGCAAGGAGGCTCAGAGGGTAAAGTGCTGCTACACAGCCTGAAGACCAGAGTTTGCATTCCAGAACCTTTAAAATCCAGGGTGGTGCACACACCTGTGACCCCACTCCTGGGGGATTGAAAGGTGGGGACAGTTAGATCCTTGGGGGCTCTGTGGCCACTTGAGCAGCAGTAGGGAACTAGTAGAAGACTGCCTCAAAAACAAAACAAAACAAGCCATCAAAGAAGAGACTTCTGTTGTTACCTTCTGGCCTCCACGTTCATGGCAGGCGCGTGACCCATACACATAACCCCTCTCTCCCAATTTACAAACAGTTAGAATTCACACAAACTAGGTGTCGTGCCATGTCTTGTGATCCCAGCCACTCACAAGGCTGAGGGAGGAGCATTACTTGAGACTAGAATTTGAGGCTTGAGGGCTCAGAAATAACAAGGTCCCATCTCAGGACTTGGCTTTTCGGAACTGATGATGCAGGCGTATTGGACAGTGTTTTCTGAAGTGCGTGGAAGCTGCATTAAATGTGGCCAGGCAAACACTCTGGTTTAGGACAGTGAGTGCTGTCAGGACTAGGTGAACTCTGCTCTTGGTCCTGTCTGATACCTCGAAATGCTTCCTAACTGAGCCAGGTTTTCACTTTTTTAACGAAGTTCCTGACAAACCTGTCTTACAATAGGAGAGGTTTAGTTTCACTTATGGTTTGAAGAGTCTTTTGGTTCTGTTACTTTGGGAGGAGCGGGGTGCTGTGGTGAGAAGGGCAGCGGCAACTGGGATCACGTGGTGGATCGGACCAGCGTTGCTCCCCTCCTAGCAGCGAGAAGCAGAAAGTCTCATGAAGAGGTCTGGGTCCTACGCTCTACCTTCAAAAGGTTCCAGCACCTCCAGGTGGCACACTCAACTAGAGTCAGGCCTTTGGAGACATGTGAGCTCAAAATGATGTTACCAATGCGTGCTTTCTTTAAATTTTAATTATAGTATAAAAATTTGTAACAGGTATATTACAATTCTAAAAATGCCAGACAGAATTCACTTACTGAAGTTGAGGACATGATCAAATGATTGTGATAGCTAATTCTGATGGAACACATAACAGGAACTTTGTAGTATCTGAATCTAATTTAATAAAATTGATTCACAGTAACTCTAGGGGATAGATATTAATAAGCCCGCTTAAGTAAATTCTCATTTACTTAAGACATTTAGTCTTAAGATTTTTCAGTCATTAACCTTTGATCCACATGGCTAACACAAATATCTGCTGAAAGAACACCACTGATAGATAGGTGACTAAGTTCTCATGTATTAGAATAGAGGGGAAGATAGGGCTTTATTGTGCTACTTAGAAAACATGATATTGCTGGGCTTAAAGGTGAAGAGAGAAGAGGAACGTTGAACATTCTGTTCTCTTAGTATTTATAGCTACATAATACTTAGCCTGCTATAGAGTTTCTTTTTATTAAGGGAACTATAATCGTTCTGAGTAACCTCAGGTGGGAAGAGTAGAACGTCACAGAGTTGTTCCTTAATGTAAGTGAGTGACTGGCTGATTCTAAGATTCCTTCTCTTCACTGGTATCAAATCTGTGGGCGGGCGCTCGGTTAAGTCCCTGGTGTGAGATGGTATTTGTCTGGAGCCTGTGTGCCTCCCTCCTGTCACCGGCTGTCTCTGCGGTACTTGGTCCCACATGCAGTGCAAATGTGCTTCAGGCTGGTGGGCTCAGTTGCAGATAGGTTTGAGCACATAGTATATGACAATGACACTAGACAGATAGTGCTGGGGTTGGGGTGGGTGTGGTGGTGGAGGGAGGGGGTATTTGGAAGGCTAGGCTACTTCTCTGTGATTCCATAGAGTATTATTTGTATAGAAATTATGTAGTACTCAGTGTAACAAGGTGTAACTTTGTGAGAAATATTTTTTTCCTGAATCATTTAGTTGGATCCATGGATATGTAGCCCAGAGACACGTGGAGCTGACTGCAGATTTTAGTCAGTTAAGGTTTGCTAAAGCTGATTGTAGCATTTATAATCTCATTCGATTAAAATGGTGTTATTTGTATTTTCAGTTAAATCTACTCATTTAGAATACATATGAAAATACTAATGTCATATATTCACTATATAGATACAATATTTACTGTTAGAAACCAGGCATCAACTCTTTCAAGTATATTGTGTGACAATATGGTTTGCATTGTGATAAATCGATTTACTGTTTTTTTTTTTTTAAAAGGAGGCTAAAAAACCAAAACAAGAAACTGATAGGAATTAAGTTAGTTGGTGTTTTAAGGAGTATATTTGCTAAGAAAAAAAAAGGCTGGACAGTGGTGGCGCACACCTTTAATCCCAGCACTTGGGAGGCAGAGGCAGGCGGATTTCTGAGTTCGAGGCCAGCCTGGTCTACAGAGTGAGTTCTAGGACAGTCCAGGCTATACAGAGAAACCCTGTCTCGAGAAAAAAAAAAAAAAAAAAAAGAGTATATTTGCTGTTTGTTTGCTATTCAGTTTATTTTAGGTCATGTTGTAACTCTTCTATGGCATTTAAAAACACTTCGCAGGTTCTGGTAACTACTAGAAAACAGAAAGTGCAGGACATAGGAAGGGCAGTATGTCCTAGTCATAAATTACTATGACAGGATTCTGGGTAGGAAGCTCTGCTTATCTCTACTGGATCTTAAATGAAGGACAAGACAAATCCCCATACCCAGTGGGACAAAACAGATAGCAGGAAGTGAGGTGATCTTACCTCTTCACCCAACAAGAGAAGAGCAGGACAGGAGCAAGCCCTTGCTGGCTTGGAGCTCGTCTGTGCTTCAGAGGCAGAGCCAGGAGATCCTGAGTTCAAGGTCCCCCTCAGTTACATAGGAAGTTCCAGGCCTGTTTGTACCTCTCCTTTCTCAGATGCATACATGCACACATAGGGCACACATAGGGCTGTCAACAACACGGAAGTAATGTTATTTTATCTGTGTACAGCTGACCGGGGCTGGATGACGACTAAGCTGGATGTGAGCCTGTTCCTTTTACAGAGGAACCTTGAGTTTGCGTCTTAGCACTCATGTCAGGCAGCTAAAAACATGAGTAAAATTCCAGAATATTCATGATAGGGGGGCTAGGGATGTAGCTCAGGTAGTAAAGTACTTGCTTAATATGAGTGAAGTCTTGGTAGCATTCTTAAATAGGGAATGATGGGATACCTGTCTATAATCTGATCTGATGATCAGAAGTTCAGGGCCATCCTCTGCTACATAGTCCAAGGCTAGCTTAGGGTATATGACACTTGATCTCAGAAAAATCAGACAAGAATAATTGTAGTACAAACTTAAAAGTGTTTATTTAATTACATTATGACACTTGATTCTCTGTGTCTTAGTTTGAGTTCTCAAGTGTTTTTGTGTGTTAGAGTCACAGGGAAGCTTTTAAATATTCTCATTCATTAGCTAGACCCTAACCAAGCCCATTAAATCAGATTTGGGGGGATAGTAGATTTTTTTTTTAGCAATTCACTGTGGGGATAGCTTTTTCTTCTGGGAAACATAGTTACAGTAGCGATAAACAGTGGCCAGGATGTGATGTTAATCGGTCAAAAATTCCTGTGAGGTTGCATCAGGAGTCAAGGATGTTGTGGCCATAGGGAGCAGCTGTGAGGTGGGAATCCGGAAAGGCATGCAGGAAGCAGCCCAACTTGACCTGGCAGACTGTTAAATGGGGCTTAGAAGGAAACACCTCAGAAATTCGTGGAAGACAGTTGAGGAACCTGGTTAATGGTGATGGAGTGAGAATCTTTTCTAAATAGACTACTTAACTATTAATTTAAAATTTTGCGCTGTTTTGTTTTTAAACAGGCTAATAGCTCGTCAGCTTGCTAAAATCCATGCTATTCATGCCCACAATGGCTGGATCCCCAAATCTAACCTATGGCTGAAGATGGGGAAATACTTCTCTCTCATTCCCACAGGATTTGCTGATGAAGACATTAATAAAAGGTAAATTACTTTGATATTTGCATTGCTTTGCCCTCAGTATGTACTGAAAGATAATGCTTGTATAAAATCTGGTTTGCATTCTCTTTGCATTAAAGTGAACAAAATTATTGACTGTGGCTCTCAGATGACACTACAGAGTTTCCGTATCATTTTGAAGCCCCTCCCCTTCCCAAGAAAAGTCCCAACAACAGCAAAGGGGGATGGAGTTGCTACAGATACAGAGTATTTATTTAGACGTAATTATAAAGAATACCAGGAAAGGGTACAATGGTACCAACCATGGTATTCATCTAGAGATGCATATGTGTGGGTATGGATGGGACTGTAAGGATTAGATCATCTTAATTTACTGTGTTTATTTAAATGACAGATTATTAGGGTGAAAATTTACCTTCTGGGATCTTGGCTCTTTCCAATTGGCTACCAAGTTTAAACTGCCTGTGATGGTTCATTTTTTATATGGGATTTTTTTAATAGATCAGTCTTTAGAATCTAAATCTTAGATATTGCTAATATTACTAGTATAAACATGAAAAATTTTATTGGGTTTATACCTAAGTTGTGTTGAGGCTGTAACTTGTGTAGGAATTCTATTTCCAGAACAACAGAAGCAACCATTATTTAGAAGTGTTGACAGTGGACACACACACACACACACACACACACACACACACACACACAATCTCTTAAATTGATAGTGTGTGCTCACATGCATGTGCTCATACGTACATACACACACTCGGAGAGTAATGTAAGTGTCCTGGGAAGCAGCACACTGTGGGCCCAGCCTGTCCGGTTACCAGTTCACATCCCTGTCATGTCCACTTGGCAAGCGCTCAGCTCTGTGTTGTCACCTGTGTAAAGGGACTACTGTAAGTTATTAGCTGGGTTTGCTGGTGGTCTCCCCATGTAGGTAATTTGTGTGGAGCATAGGAATACTTTGATAGATTTTGGATGAACAACTAAGAGGCCAGGCAGCTCTTTGGCAGGAGTCTGTGAATAGCACCTCGTGCCTGGTGTCCACATGGCCAGCTGGAGGAGGTTGCCCATTCTGTGTCATTTGTTTTCTACTACAGTTTATGCAAATGGATCATGCACATCCATACTTTGGGTTCCTCCTTTTTCCCAGGCACCCTTCTATTAACCCTTGTGCTTAAAATCTGTGTTAATCATGTTTTTAAGAAATGGTCTGCTCAGTTGCGCTGAGGCCAGCCCTAGCTTTGTTGTTGAGGTGCAGTAGGTAATGTATGTCATCTCCAGCTAGGGCTTTCTGAAAACATCAGTTTCATCTGAAGCATCAGTTTTTAGTTTCTGCTCTACAGTTTAACTGTCTTATGTTTAAGTTGATTATAAAGGTTTTCTTTATTCCGGTTTTGGAACACATTGATTTATTGTTGAATTCAGGAACATGTGATTATTCAATAGGAAGCATTTGAGGTAGAATGTTAACTTTAAATTTGAAAGGGTCAGTCAGATAAATAAGGTCTCACTCTTCTCTTAAAATGGACAGGTTCCTAAGTGAGATCCCGAGCCCTCAGCTTCTTCAGGAGGAGATGACTTGGATGAAGGAGATTCTTTCCAGCCTGGGCTCACCTGTGGTACTTTGCCATAATGACCTGTTGTGTAAGAATATAATCTACAACGAGAAACAAGGTAGGTATTTGACCTTAGCAGTAAGTAATTTGATTGATTGCTCATATGCTCTTCTTAATGGTCCCTTGTCTTTGTATCAGAAAACAAGAAGTAAAACATGCACAAAGATTTTTGCTTGATGTTATACAAATCATGGTAATTGCTATTAGGAATGTATATATATACACACATACACATACATACATATATATGGATAAAATGTTTTTAAATATTATTACAAGTAGTGGGTTCTTGTTGCCTCTTTAAGTGTACAGTGATAGTTGTGTATGTATGTGTGTGTATATATATGTATACACATATATATTTATAAATATACATATATAAATATATATTTCTAAAAGCTTTTTGGCCATTTGTGATTTTAAAAGCATGTCTGCTGTAATGGGGAGTGTGGGAAATCAACAGATTGCTACTGCATTGCTGGATCTGTGGGAACCTCTCAGTGCTGTGGGCTTAACAGCATTTACTATGGCCAGGCTTTGTAATTCCTGAGTATGCTGACCCTCTAGGGAGAGGCTCAGATGTAGACTACTGTCTTTGTTGGTATTTATAGCAAATGAAGTAGTAATAAAGTAGCTGTGTTTAAATAGACTTAAAATATTCTGAGGTAGAAGTTGGTACTTTGGTGTAACTTTTTGTGACTGTTCATATCTTGATGCTTTGTGTTCATATCTAAGGTTGCATTATTAGGTCACTGGGTAAAGTGCTTTGAGGTTTGGTTGCTAAACAATAAATACCTTCAAATACTAAATTGAAATTTAAAGGTACTATTTGTGTTTAATTGATAATTGAGAAGTGTTTGAAACTGGAGCCGCTGCTTTTAGGGAAGGCCCGGTTTTGAAAGTACTTATTTTGCAAAGACCGTATTTTAAATAAAAAAAAAGTGTTTTTATGTATGTACTAAAACCAAAAAATTACTATTGTTGTAGTCATAAATGTATTAAATTTGTTAGTAGTGACCTTACATCCAAAGTTGGGACTATTCTAAATAAGATAATTGTTAGTAATTACAGCTAACTTTAACCTGAAACCCAACTAAAGAGACACTGTCAAGGATGATGGTCGTAAGCTATATTTTCAAAGACATTCATGTTTTATATTTGATATTTTAAAGTGGATGAGAGATTAAGAAAAGAAAACACTGCACTAAAGGCTGTTCTGAGTCATGTTGATTCTTGTGTGGAGTCACTTCATTTTAAACTTTAGGTATACCCTAGAGCATTAAGTCTTTGACAGTGTTCTTTAAGGAGTTACTGTCATTGATTGTACATGGTTGTTACAGTAAATGAGTGGTGACCAAATCTCAATGCTATATGAGACAGGAGCATTAGCTGTCCCTAACGGGTGTGCTAGCGTGAAGTTCAGTGCAGGACCTAATAACACGTTTGTGTAACGGAGCTTCACGGAAGGGACTTCATCTTACATTTGAAGTGGACACTCAGCTTTATCTTTAACTGCAAGTTAAAGGGAATTTGTTATTTCCTCTGGAATATAAGTTTAATTGTCATTTAAATTTTTATTTTTTGCATATTCATTTCATAGAACAAAACTCATTTATGAAACTAAAAATAAGGGACCAAAAAAATCAGATTACTTTGTCATAGGTACTTTACTTTTTATTAAACATTTGTCAGTCTCAGTTCTTGATAATTTACATGTAACGTGCTTGTATATCAAAGAGAACAATTAGGTTTTAATTTGGTGTTAGAGGTCAAAATCTCTCTCCATGTGTCTCTGTCCCTTTCCTTCCAGTAAGAGTTCATGTTGTATTGCTTGCTCCTTGTCTTGGTGGACATTTCGAGTGTTAGAAAGGAAAGGCTGTATGTGTATTTTGTCTTCATCAATTAGTAGTTTTGTGTTTCCTAGAAAGGCTAACTGGGTCTTGTGGCATCCCCTTGCAACGAGAGTTCTGTGTTAGTAGTTGATACGTAAGCTCTAAGACACTAGTTAGAGTGTTCAGGTAAAACCTTAAATTCAAGAACACCGACCAGAAGCTATACTGTTATCATCCATCCTTTGGTGTGATTTCAGGTGAGGAGCTAGTAGCTTTGAGGTAATGAAAGCATGTGACCTATTTGAGTCTGTAGTTACAAGTAGAAGATAACCACGTTTTAGTCCAACAAATTGGTAAGCTTAATGCATGTTGGTCTGGGAGCATTCCTTTGACACTCCAGAGATGATCTTAGAAAAGGCAGTATGGGAGCCAGGTGTGTGTAGTACATTTGTATCCCAGCATGTAGGAGGCAGAGGCAGGCAGCTCTCCTCCCTTAGTTCCAGGACAGCTAGAGCTGAGACCCTGTCTTAGGGGGAGGTGAGGAAACCACAAAAGGGGACTAGAGAGATGATGACCCAGTCATTAAAGGCTAGGCTCTTAACAACAACAACAACAACAACAACAAAGGCAGATGGACTCCACCTGTTTTAGCTGGCTGTTTCCTTCACTGTAGCATATGAAAGCTGAGCTTTTGGAAGGGAGGGTAATTTATACTTAGAATAATGGATTAAATTTTGCATTTTATTCACATACGCACTTGATCTGTAGTCCTAAGTCATCCACGTGGTTGGAGTACAGTACCTCCCTATTTTCTGCTACAAGTAGATAAAAATAATGGATGGAGTGAGTGGGCTGGCCCCTATCAAGCTCTCTTCTTTTTAATTTCTCAGAAGTGTAAATTTGAAGCTCACTTACTACATTTGTGCAGTATCATCTTGCAGTTACTGCATATATTTTTTAAAATAATGTGACAAACTAGCTTTGGCATTAATTAATATACGTATATAATTTGTCAGCCATTATTATGTTGTTTATAGTATACATTTTATAAAAAGCTATCAAGATTTGAAAAGCTGGCATATCTGGAGAGTGGTGATGCATGCCTTTAATTCCAGTACTTGGGAGGCAGAGGCAGGTGGATCTCAGTGAGTTCCAGGACAGCCAGAGCTACTTGGAGGAACAAACAAACAAAACAAAAAAGAAGCAAACCCCCCAAACAACAATGAAAGCATTAGCATAAGGATGTAGATGTTTGTTAGCCGATGGCCCCTTCCCAGCTGTGATGAAGGGACAGCTGTCCTCACAGTGCGGTCAGTGCCCACTTACGACATAGAATTTGTAATAAATAAAATGGGAAGCAGCTATTCTTCCCAGAGTAAGACAGCATTATGCAGTTGTTTGTCTGTCAGTCATTTGTTAATCTCACAAAGCTTAGAGTGGGGAACTTGGGATGACTTCCAGTGTAATATTCCGATTGTAGCTAATTCTTCAGTTGCTGACATGTCAGAAGCCATAGATGAAACTTTTGAGATTGTGCGTTTGTCTTTACTTTTGTTAGAAGGTTCTTCGCTTTGACAATGACTTTAATTTGTTTCTTACTCGCACCCCAGTTTCTTCATAAGAGCCCACATACAAGTAAGTCTCACTATAGCTCTAGATGTAGGTAGGGGGTGTTAATCATTGTCCATTTTCTGTTCAGTAAATATAAGACTTGACTGAGACAGATCTGGCCTCAGTCAAGCTGTCCTTGTGGTACTGCAGATGTGGCTCAGTTGGTATACTGCTGGCCTGGTAAATGCAAAGCCTCAGTGCCGTCCTCAGCACTGGGTAAATGGGTGTGCCAGGACTGGGAGCCCAGTATTTGGAAGGTAGAAGCAAAGAGGACAGGAAATTCAAGATCATCCTTGGAAAGGTTTTAGGCTCCCTCCTCCCCTAGTCCCTATTAAAGAAATAACAGAAACAAACAAAATCTTGTCTTTGAAAGATAATCTCATATACAGACAAACATAAACACAGATGAAACAAGTAGAAATATAATCATATATAAACACTTTGCTTATAAAAACCAATGTATTCATACACATATATACCTTTTGCTTATCTGCTTGGAGTACCACCATACCTTTAAAATAAAAGCCATATATATAGAATATTGAGTGTAAATATCTACAAACACAAATAGAGACCTAACTCTTTGTAACCATGTACCTGGTACCTCTATAGTCGAGGACTGACAAGTTTGTGCTTTATCACCCACTTCACCTGCTCATTCATCAGTTCGTTTTAGGCCTCCC